GGCCCCCTATCGGCGAAGCAAATTCAGCGATGTATGGACACAGGAAGTTTGCCAGTCGACCTGCATGTGTGTACGGACAACAAAGGCCTCTTCACGGCGCTAGGTGCAACAGAGTTGAAAGCACCAGCTGAACCTCATCTTTTGTATTTGCTACGCGCTCTACGTGACAGATTGGAAGCAGGGACTCTACACAAACTTTTTCGGGTGGATTCTCGAGCAATGATCGGCGATGCGTTGGCCAAGGGTGGACTGGCTCGAGAACCTATACTTAAGTTGTGGGAGACGGCAGTGTTGATGATGACTGGAGACGAACCCCTGGCATTATGCTTACGGGGTCCTCGCGGAGATGTCAGCGAGTGGGAAGGTAAGTGAATCGTGATATCTGTATTTTTGATGATGAATGGCATGCCTGTAGATTACGATTTGTCTATTGGATTTTTGCGAAGAGGCTTTCTTCATCCGCATCCTGGTCCACGCTGTTGTGGACCGTATATGCTGCTTGCGCGAGATTTATTGTTTCTCGCTCTCTTTCTCCCCTCCATAATCATGTTATGTAACCCGAGTGTAGTGTGTGGCGATTCTTCCGATGCTGCGTTGCTTGTAGCGGCCTCTGATGTGGTTCTCTGGAAGATGATTTCAGCAGTCCACCTTTTTAGCCTCTGGAGTCCCCGCGATTTGTCTTGGGACTTCAAAACCGAGCGTTGTGGGGATGGCAGTCCATTTGTGAGGGATCGACTGCCTGCGGCTGGTTGGCCGTGACGAATAATCTGCTCTGCTTCTCGTGCGTGTGCGGTGTCAGCTCGTAGACTTTCGCTGAATTTCCCACCCCGAGTTGAAGTGTAATGACCCTCCCGAGACCTGGGAGGGGCCAGGCAGTATGCACAGCAGGGAGCAAGCAGGCAGTAGCATGTGTATTTGACAGAGCGGCGTTGACGCTGCTATGGCTCAAGCCGGTCAGTGAGAAGCCTCGCAGAGTGTATATCCTGTCCGCGGCGGCCAGCCTCTCCTCCCTCAGTCCATATCCGATAATCAAGATTATCATCAAGACGGCGATCCTCGCGATCCTCTCCCTCTTCGGGGCCCTCAGGGCCAGCTGGGCCCTCAGGACCAACTCGATAGTTTCACCGCCGTTGGCGGACGCGCCCGCGGAGCTGGAGCCAGACCCTCAGGAGGCGTTGACTTGGGAGGGTGAGCGCCAGGAGAAAAATGGGAGAGGGCGCTGCCCGCGAGCCGGCAGAAGGCGTCGCTTGCAACAGTTCCTTGCGCGCGGCCGTTGTTTTTCAGCAGCGTTGTCACTTTGCCGTTTTTCATTGTTCACGCGCAGTCCGCGCTCCCTCGGCAGCTGCGGGGCCTGCGCGCAAAGAGCGCGGGTCGCCCCCCACGGCGCGTTGCGCTGGTTTGAAGGGCCCAGCCCGGGCCGCAGCGCCTCATGGGAAAGGTGGCAGGGGGGGCTTATCCCTCCGCGCTGGATCGGGACGACTCGCCTTCCTCGCTTGGCTGAGGCACCTTGCACTCGTGTTGCAGCGTGGTCGGCAGCAGGGCCCTGGCAACCGGCGCCGCCTGAACATCTGCCGCCGCGCGCGTGCCAAGCAGCGCATGGAGCCGACTGGGCGAGCGCCTGTCCCAGGGGCGCGCGGGCAGGAGCTCAGAGACAGAAAGAAAATCTGGCAGCGAGCATTCGCAGTCACAAAACGGGTGCCGCACAATGATGCTGCGGGCGCCGCAACCTTGGCAGGCGACGGTGTAAGGCAGTGCCCAGCCACCGCGAAGGGGCCAGCGCTCCGCGAGGCGGACCGACGCCCAGCAGCGAAAAGCGCACCAAAAGGACGGCGAGCCGCGCCAGCAGAGCCAAGCCGGTTGAAACTTTACAGACTGACAGTGCAGCAAACTCAGAGGTAGCCCTAAAACGGGAATGGGCGTCGCCGCTGCTTGCGCAAACGCGGTGTCCTCGCGGGCCTGCAGGGCGGGCCGCGCGGCGTCGCGACGGTGGCGGCGCGGCAACTCCCTCCGCTCCACCGGGCAGCGGCGCGCGCGGCGAATGCATTCCTCCGCGAAGCCTGCCGGGCGCTGGAGCGTGATGGCCTCTTTGCCTGCCGCGCCAGCCAGCTTGCGAATGAGCTCCGCCAGCCACGGTGGCGCGCTGAGGACCTCCGCCAGGCGCAGCATCCGAGCACTTCGGTGGCCCGACTGGAGGGCGTCCAACCGCGCAAGACGTATTGCCGCCGCCTCTCATGTCTTCGCAGCGAGGCGACGTTCCCAGCTGCATTGTGCGACAACAAGACACGGAGCCACATTTTCACAAGCGGGGATGCCGAGGAGAGGCCGGCCCCAGAAATATTGCAGGGCATTGACCTCAGGACTGGCGCCTGACGCTACGATCAAGAAAGGGGCGCTGTACAGGATGGCTGGTTCCGTCCGCGTCAACGCCTGGCCTGTGGTCCAAAGGAAAGCTCGGCGTCGAGCAGCGCCCCGAGCAGCGTGTGCGACCACACTAGCGCGC